ATTTTAAAGCAGCTCTGTAAAATCTTGTATCATGTGTTCAGCTACAAAGGTGGCAATGTCTGGCATATTTTAAACTTAAAAAAATGTTACAGCACTATTTTAAATATAGCCAGTGGATTCTAATTATCATAGTGATTTGATACCCATCATCAGCCAAAAATACATGAAATTTCTCATCTTTCCTTCTTGAAATCATGCTTCTATCCCACCTCTTCTACAGAACAGTATCCTTTTCTGTTTGACAAGTAGATTTAGCACCTTCTCACTCCTCTCTATAAAGATTACAGATGGAATTTTAAAAATCTGTTTCCTGTTTTGTCACCATTTTAACACTCTAAGTGTTAATTACATTACTTTTGGGCTGGGTAATGACTATAATTATTATTAGTAAATAACTGATCAAAACATAAATATAAAAGATGTTACTGCAAATGTTATCACTTAACTCAATGAGACTGTGGTAGTTACATAATCTGGGGTCCACTTGAGACTATTAAGACTGAAGGGGTGGAGTTTAACCTGTCAATCAGGTCACAGCTTAATGACCTCATTCGGAGATAATAGCTCACTGGAGGTAAGCCATATTCTCCCTATGAGACATTCCTGTTGACAAGCCACATGGAGCTACACTGAGAGCCAAAGCCCTGGAGCTAGAGGAGCCACATGGAGAACCACGCCAGTGCTGAGATATTTCCACCACCACTGGATCCACAAGACTTTCCACCCACTGGCCTGTGATCTTCATGCATTCTGCATCATTGCATGTGTTGCCTGTGTCCGAAGAGGACTGGTACCGAACATATGGGCTAATATCAGACTTATGGACTTGCTCTGGACTGGTGTGGGATCCTTTCTTAATATACTATTACTGTTTGATGTAAAGCTCTTTCTTATACACATGAGTGTCTCTGGATTTGTTTCTCTAGTCAACCCAGACTAACACAGAGACCATGCGTTACAGGATTGTATTTACATAAAAAGATGGATTGACAGAGTGGCTATAACAATGAACTCAGACATAGCAATCATAAGGATGGCACAAAACCAGGTAATGCTTCACCAACAGCACCTAACAATATCACTTACGAAAACAGGACCCACTAAGAACTTTATTCTTTTGTTGATCTTGTTTTGAAGGTTGCACGCCATGGAGCACACTGTTCCCACAAAACAGCGGATAACGACTAACGACGGACATTTACGCCTTCCTTCTGTTTGGTAAACACTTAATTCAGGTCGGTGGTTATATCGTAGAACTGAAAAACGGGTCTGGAGATGAACAGTTAAGAGAGTTTTTTAAAGTAATGGCCACATTCTATTGCCTAATCTGGATAGCAGGTGCACACGAGCTTGTTGTGGTGTGTTATGCAATATCCTATATACAATTCACAAGTAATCTTTTACGTTCACTCTGTACTTAGTTTTAACATGAAAGGAGAGCTAAGTACCAAGAAAACCATGAGACAGGGAAGCAGAATTTATTTGTAAATGAAGCCAAAAGATGTGCTCCCTTACCTACAGTGAAGTATTATTATCTACCGGGCAACCCTGGTGGTGCAGTGGTTACGTGTTGGTTGGGCTGCGATCCGCATGATTGGCAGTTTGAAACTACCAGCAGCTGTCTGTGAGAAAAACTGGACTTTCTACTCCCATAAACAGTCCATCTCTAAAACGCACCAGGGGTTGCTCTGAGTCAGCCTTGACTCCATGGCAGTGAGTGAAGGAGCCAAGTGGCTCTCATGGCACAGTGGGTATGTCTTGGGCTGCCAACTGCAAGGCCAACAGTTTAAAACCCCAGCCTCTCCTTGGGAGAAAGGGGCTTTCTACTCCCACAGTTACAGTCTTAGTAACCTACAGGGACATTTCTGTCCTGACTTATAGGATCACAATGAGTTGTAATCACCTAGGCTTGATGGCAGTAAGTTTGAGTGTTTGGGATTATCAGGTTCCTTGGTAGGTTTTTCTTGAGCAAAGAAGACCCACCACAGACACTTGATCGGTATGGACTCATTTCCTACTAATAGCCATTCAGCAACTCATATTTATGAAGCACTAAGTATGTCCCAGGTACTGCTCTAGGCACAGGATTCAGCAGTAAACAAACATCTGTCATGTGGAGTTGGCCTCTTAGTGGGAGACAACAATCGACAAGCAAGTAAAAACTTTGGGCCGATGGTGGCAATGCCATGACAAGAGACGCAGAGCAGGGCTGGGTGCCTGAGGGTAGGGGTGGGGTTGGGAAGTAAGATGGTACCATCTTGAACAGAGTGGTGGGGTGGCTGACCACTCTGCCTGCCCCAAATCAGGTCACATGGCTCTCAGAGGACATATGTTCTTACAGAGGGTTGCAAAGGCTCCGGGGCAGGAGCACAACCTGGTCTGTGATAGAAGGAGCAGGGCATCAGGACAGGGCAGTGCCCATGAGGGCAGGAGGGGAAGGGGATTCCCAGGGGCCAGATTGGTACAGCAGGTGATGCTGGATTCCACCTCCAAAGAACCCAGCCAGGTTTGGACCAGGACTGACTGACACGGTCTGACAGCCATAGCAATGGAGCTTAGGATGGCCACTGGGCACTGCTCAGGCTTCACTTGCTCTGTCTGTAGCCCCTCAACTTGTGTTTAGGGATGACTTGGTCACAGACTATACTCTTGGAGTCTGAGACCCTAGTTCACTGTGTTCAACCCTGTTCACTGGAGGGCAAATATTTCCCTCCCTGCTCTATGCATTGCAAGAAGCCCTGGGAGCACCGTGGTTCAGTGCTGGGCCGCTCAAGGCGAATTTGGTGGTTGGAATCCAACAGCTGCTCTTTGGGAGAAAGGAGGGTGGGGCAATTCTCTTCTGACCTAGGAGGCCACTCCGTGATGGACATGACTGTGTCTGAGTCTGGGTTTTGTTTCATTTTGTTGGTTCTACACATCCCAGCATTCCACACACAGGCCTGAGGCATCTATTTTACTCTCTTTATACATAGCTGCGGTAGTTACATAATCTAGTGTCAACTTGAAGAGGGCTGGAGTCTAGCCTGTCGATCAGGTTGCAGCTTGATGACCTCATCTGGAGATGTCACAGAGATAAACAGCTCACCGGAAGCCAGATACACACAGACTTCCTGCGTTGCTTCCTGCTGACAAGACACATGGATCTATGCTAGAGTCCTGGAGCTGGAGGAGCCACGTGGAAACCCTGCCAGCGTTGAGATGTTTCCACTGCCACTGGATCCACAAGACTTTCCACCCACTGGCCTGTGATCTTCCTGCATTTGGCATCATTGCATGTGTTGTATAAGTCTAAAGAGGAATTTATAGATTGGTATTGGACACATGGGCTAATATTGGACTTGTAGCCTTGATCTGGACTGGGCTGGGATGTTTTCTCAATTATCGATGGCTCCTGTATATAAAGTTCTTTCTTAGACACATATGTGTGTCTCTGAATTTGTTTCTCTATTCAACCCAGACTGAGACAACATCCATGCTCCTCATTAATTGCAAACTTCTCGATGGCAAAGATATAAAGGCACATGTCTCCCAGGCGCTTTCACACATGGTCTTTATTAACCAGAGGCCACCTCCATGGAGAGACACAGCTAACAGAGGACACCAGTCTCCATGCTGCCCCGCTTACACGGCTGACCCCAGGGCTCACCTGACGTGGGAGGACCTGATGTTTCAGAGACAGAGAGCCACGTGAAAAGAAAGGCCAGCATGGGGTGGGACACACCAGTCCAATGACCCAAGGACCCATAGCCAGCCCACTGCATTGTGGGGAGAGGCCTGGGCACAATAGGGGGGGGGGCCTGTCTGCCCTCCCACCGTGGCCAGTCCCCAGCTTGACTGTAAATGTTCCCTCACACGTTACACTGCAATCCGATGCCTTCCTTCCAACTCCAGGGCACTGTGATTTAGTAGCTGGGTGGCAAGGAGTAAGTATCTGCATGGATGTCAAGGGCCACCACACAGCCCATCCCCCTGCGCCCCCCTACTCCAAAGGCAGACCTGCTGGCCCAGCTGGCCCACCTCGGGGTACAGGGGCACTGAAGCAGGACACCCGGGCTAGGAGTGGGTCCCCCGGCTCATGGGCTGTTTTTCTGTGAAGAAACTTTTCAGCAGCAGCAGCTGGCTGACGCTGACCACGAACAGGGCAACCGTCTCCCCCATAGACCAGTAGGAGACTCGGCTGTTCAGGTCTTCAGCCCGAGCCCGGTCCTGGGCCTCCCGGAGTCGATAGTGGGTCTGGGAGTCAATGATGGTCTTCAGGGCCTCGTGGATGGTCACGCAGGCGGACTCCATCTGGGCAGGAAGAGAGAAGCAGCAGGATGAAGAGGGGAAGCAGCATCGACAGTGCAGGGGCGCTCCTGAGTGCCGACAGCCCCCCCTCAGCTGAGAGCCACCCCAGAGGTGGCTACAGCTACAGCCACAAACCAGCTACTGAATTCTGCGCACAGCTTGAATGCGCAGCTGAGAAGGTCCTCCCCCAGAGCTCCAGACAACAGACTCGCCGGGCCAACACCCTGGTTTCAGCCTCGGGCACAGAACCCAGCCGAAGCTGCCTGGACTTCTCACTTGCACAGCTTTGAAGTAAGAAAGAGGTGTTGTTTCAAGCACTAAACTTTGGATAGGTTACTCAGCGACTGAAAATGAATCCAGTATGGCTGTGGAACAAGAGTTCCTACATATCCACCCCAACGGTGGGTTCTCCGGCTAGAAGAGTTCATCAAGCACTGTTAGGCACTTGCTTCAATGGAGCCTTGATGGCACAATGGTTAGGAGCTCGGCTGCTCATCAAAAGGTTGGCAGTTCAAACCCACCTAGTGGCTCCTCAGGACAAAGACATGCCATCTGTTTCTGGAGAGATTACATCCAGGAAAACCCTGGACCGTGTTTTCCACTCTGTCACACAGAGCTGCTGTGAGCCAACATGAACCAGAAAGCAATGGACAATGGGCCCTTGCTTCAGTTCCCAGACTCCAAAAGTGAACTATTTGTAATGTGCAGCACCAGGCCAAGAGTCTTAGAGAAGACTGAACGACTGTGTGGCCCCTCTGATGACTCAAATCTCACTCAAATCCCCGTTTCTCTAACAAACTGAATTGTTTCCAGAAGGCAGTGCCCTTATTTGCCACGCTGGGTATACTCTTTACTCTGGGCCATTCTAATAGCTAAACTCACTGCCATCGAGCCAATGCTGACTCACAGAGACCTTACAGGACAGCATTTCTTAGACTGTAGATCTCTATGAGAGTAGAAAGCCCCATCTGCCTCCTTTGGAGGGGCTGGTGGCTTCAAACTACTGACCTTGTGGTCAGCAGCCCAACGTGTAACCACTATGCCACCGGGGCTCCACAAAAGCTAAGCTAGATAATATATATAGAAAGAGACGAACATTTTCCTTCAGCCTCCCAGCTCACCAGGCAGTGTGTTCTGTTAGTCTGGTGACTGGTCTACCTCCCAGGTCTATCAACTTGGGTTCATCTGTCCACACTGTCTAGCTCTGTCTTTCTGGTCCATGGAGAAGAAGTGGCGAAATGTCACATCAAATATGTATGTATGAGTGTACACATGTATATGCACACAAGGATTCATGAATATATGTACATGTATGCATATTTATTTAAACACACACATATATGCAAACCCCTTGTCACGGAGTCAATTCTGACTCATGGTAACACCCGTGTTACACAGATCTGCTCCAGAAGGCTGTCCAGGCTGTAATATTTACACACATAGGTTACCAGGCCTTTCTTCCACAGTGCCCCTGGGGGAATTCAGACCAACCTTTAGGTTATCAGTCATGTAGAAACTGCGGGAGCCACTTAAGAACAATATAGCTGAGGGGGATGCCAAGAATTCATGGCAAAAATAAAATTAAGTGAAAAAATTTTCCAACAAACTTGTTGAAGCCCCTTTTGATTACACACACACACAAATACAGGCACACACATATGTCCCCCCTGCCTACACACACACACATTTTCGCTGCATCAACTCAGAGATGTCTTCTTCAACACCAGGCAAGGCTACAATTCCACTCTTGAGATTCTCTTCCGTCACCAGTTCAGAAGCTCAACGTGTACACAGGACTTACTTGAACAGGGTGCACCTTGGGTTCGGGGCCCTGCCCCAGAATGCAGCAGCAGCAAGGAGACGTTGGCATCTCTAGCCTTCTGCCAGGATCCAGGCTCAGTGAAGAGCAGAGCAGGAGAGAGGGTGGGCCGGAGGGAAGAAGAGAAGTGCAGGGAGGGCACACAGGTCACGGGTGCAGAAACCCCCAGGCAGAGTGTGCAGGAGTCAGCAGGACCAGGAGAGAGACTCGCTCTACAGACCTTGCTCAGACAGTTCAGGCCAGAGTCCGGCTCTGGGATTCAGGGAAGGCGATTCTAGTGCCTTTCGGGATGCAATCTTAGCTCAGCGACAGGGAAGGAGGCCAGTGACAGAATAGTTGGTGACCTATGGCTTCCTTGGGCTCTAAACCCAGTGAACCTGCATGAACCCAAGAGGCACGGAGCAACACACCACTCAGAGTCACAGATACCGAAAGGCCTCCTCTTCCCACCCACTGGGATCTTCTTGGCACTTTTGAAAGAAGACTTCTCGGCCTGTGACCACAAACTGACTCGTTGGGAAACTCCTCTTGCTGGTTTCCGGCCAGGCAGGAAGCCAGCAGAAGCCCTCTGCCGCAGAGTCCTGCTTCTCCAGGGCGTGTGGGTCACTAGCTCTCCTGCTTTGTGACCTTCACTCCTCCTCACACCAGCCTCCGCTGCCTTCCAGCACGCTGGAGCTTCACAGGACGCTGGGCCAACCAGACAGTCTCTAGAGATGGCCATTCCTCCTCCATTCTTGCTCTGACATCCCAGCCTGCCTCCTTCGCCCACGGGGGTGCAGGATGTGGGGCTGAAAACCCTTTGGAACTGGGTCAATTCTGACTCCCGGTGAGCCTGTGTGTGTCCGAGAACTGTCAGCACAGGGTTCACAATGGCTGGATTTGCAGAAGCAGGTGGCCAGGCCTTCTAGGGTGGCACTAGGTAAGACTAGTGTGGCTTGGAAAAAGGAAGCCTACTTGCCCTCATTTCTCTCTGAAAGAACCAATAGGGCCAATACCCTGATTCAGACAGACAATATTTGACTGCTGTTTAAAGCATCTCCATTTGGGGCCCTTTGTTCGGTAGCTGGGGGCACAAGGGCGGCCTCCGGTCACATTTCCCCCTGTAGACTGGAAGTCTGCCACAAGCCTTCCCTGATCCTCCTGGAAGAACCCCTCAGCCCTCATCCAAGAATCTCACCCCTAAATCGCATGCCAATCCCAGAGTTCAGTGGGGGAACTGGCTATGGGTGGTAGCTCATGCCACCATGGGAAGCCCTCATGCCAGGGGCAAGCCAGGCATCCCCGCTCCCACCAGCTGGCACTGATGCAGGATGGTGACTGCTCACCACAGGCAGACAGACCCCAGAGGTCCAGAATTGGAGGCAGCACTTCTGCTTAGGCCCCAGACAGAGAGATGAAAGAAGTGGCTCCCAGATGCAGGAGAGGGGGATGTAAGCAAGCTAAGGCTTCGGAAAGAACGCGTTCTCAGCACCCGCTCTGGAAGCCTTTCGCCCCGTTTGTTTTCCATGCCTTAAAGAGAGAAGCCCTTTGGATCAGTTTTGGGGGCTTACAAAATCTTCCTAACAGAGCCATCCCACCAGTGGCCAGCAGAACCCTCTAGAGCCAGGGTTGCGAAAGAGCTCACATTCGATCCCCACCCCAGGTTGGACCTTCTCATGGCAGCCATGCTGCCACAAGCTCCAACCCAGTGCTTCCCAGTGGAATGTCCCATGTCTGCCTGGTCACCAAGCCGCCTGGGCTCCTGGTGAACTTAAAATGCTACTCGTGTAAATGGGGGAGTCTATTTTTCGTCTCACGCCATCCTTTGAATTTAGACAACTTTAAGTAGAGAAAAAGCTGCATCAGCCGCTAACCTAGCAGCTGTCCATTAGAATCTACCCAGTGGTTCAGCAGCAGCAAGGCCTGGTGCACTGCTTCCATCAACTGCGGTCGTGAGGGGCCGCCAAGTCGATTTCCGCTCATAGCAACCCTATAGGTCAGAATCAAACTGCTCCATGGGGTTTCCCAGGCTGTGAGGTGACGACGGAGAGACATCGGCTCATGGACTTAGAGCATGCTATCAAGAAACCAGTCCCTGGAAACGGACCTCGTGCTTGGGCAAGTTAAGGATCAGCGAGGAAGAGGAGGGCCCTCAGGGAAACGGATTGACACAATCGTTGCAGCAACAGGCTCCCACATAACAACCGGGGGGGCGATGCAGGACTGGGCAGTGTTTCACTCTGCTGGGGAAAATGTCACCCTGGGTCTCAGCTGACTCCACAGTAACTAAGGACAACGACATTTTTTACTAGGGGAGATGGCTAAACTTCCTCCCATGGAGCCGATGGGGGTTCTGATGGGCCAACCTTTCTGGGGTCTGCCAAGGGCTTAACTGTGGTACCACCAGGACTGCTTCTGGGAAGGCTGTAACCAAGAAACTCTCGGGGAGCCCAGCTGGGCTCGGTAGCACATGCGATCACCATCGTGTGGGGAGGCCCCCCAGCAGCGAGCAGCACCACCACGCACAGAATGGCCAGTGCAGCCCTCCCCCGCTCTGCTCTATGGCCTTCACTGACCCTCGGGGGAGGGGCAGCCTGGGCAGAGACACTAATGTGCTCAAAGTTGCCCAGGAAAGGAAGCAGGTGACACGAGCACAAGCCCGAAAGCAATGGCCTCATTGCAGACTGACTTGTAGTGCTAGGTGGCCATTCCTGTCTTGCAGGTTCCCCTGGGCCCAGGCCCTCTGTCATCTGACAAATATTTACTGAGTTCCTGTCCTGTGCCATGCCTCCTGCACTGGGGCACAAAGAGAAAGAATCTAGTCCTAGCTTTCGGGGAAAGGTGCCCTCGTGCCACTGTGGGTTAGGTACTAGGCTGCTAACCACAAGGTCTGTGGTTCAAGCCCACTAGCCACTCCAAGGGAGAAAGATGAGGCTATCTGCTCCCAAAAGGTTTACACTCTCAGAGACTCAAAGGAGCCATTCTAATCTGCCCTGGCGGGACACTGTCAGAATCAAGTCCGTGTTGTCGTTGTTGTAAGGTGCCATTAAGTCGGTTCTGACCATAGCGCCGTTATGCACAAGAGAACCAAACACTCCAGGCCCGCACCATCCTCACAGTTGTTCCTGTGCCTGAGCCTGTTGTTGCAGCCAGAGCGATCCATCTCATGGAAGGCCTTCGTCCTTCTTCACTGCCCCTCCACTTTCCCAAACATGTTCTTCTCCAGGAACTGGAATAGCAGTGACAGAGCAGCCAGCGTCACAGCAAGACAGAAGCCACCATGGTACGTCAAGCTTGACCCTCCTGCAGGAGGGCAGGCTGCTGAAGGCAGCTAGCATTAGATTCTACGCAACCTGGAGGTTCAGAGGGGAGAGAGAGTCAGCCTTCAGATAGCTCATGGTTTCTCTCACAGAATGGGGAATTGTGACTGCTCAGCCAGGACTCTTATCTGGCCCCAACCCCCTCGCATCAACCTGGCCTCATGATCAGTTCTCCACAGTAAGACCTAAGCAGACCTGAGGGCCAAGACAGCTAGGAAGCAGGTGGGCTTTCCCTTTGCCGCCTTTATTTGGGGGCTACAAGCAGAGGACCCTGGAGTCCTAAGAGATGGCAGAGCCACCCACACAACACACACGCTTCGGTTTCTAAATCAGGCCACAGAGGAAAAGCCACCTGCCACGCTTCTCTTGCTTATTTTACAGAGAAAAAAAAACCCAGACCGCAAACACTCCTATTGTTTCAAGCCATTGGAACCAGGGCTTCTTAGTTACAGCAGCTTCTGGTAACTTTCCCTGACAGTACACCACTGTCATGCCAGGGCGACCTTGGTCTTCATGATGCAGACACACCACAGGAAAGCAGAGATCCAGGACAGAGGTGCGCACGCAGCAGTGCTGTGTAAGGGCTGGAGAGAGGGAGAAGACTAGCAGAGGAAAGCCCCACGGGATCCAGTTCAAGAACGAGGAGAGGAGACCAGAAGGAGGGCAGTGTCCTCCAGGACTGCGCATGAAAACAGGCGAGGTCCACACCAGGATCTCCAGGCAGGAGGTGGCTGGACGGCGACTCTGCTCATCCCTGAGACCCAGACCGGAGGAGGAGGAACCAGCTGGGAACCAGAGGCTCAGCCAGGTCGGCAGAGAGCTGGCCCAGGCCATGTCCACTCACCTGCGTGAGAGCTGTCACCCGGTTCCCCATGTCTGGGAGAATGGGTGCCTCGTCACCCACTTGGAAATCAAAATAGACAGTCTTGTGGGAGAAGGTGGAGAACTCGTTGCTGAAGCAGAACTGGTACACGCCCTTGACCTCCGCCCGGTGTGTGAAGCTGTCGTACTGCTTCTTGGTTTCCCTGTAGATGGTGTTCCCTAAGGGGTCTTCCATGTAACAGTCAACATCATAGTGGCCGCCGGTGATGACCTGACAAGCACAAAAGGGTCGCTGCTATCAGAGGGACAGCCGCCACTCACTAAATGACAACCTTGTAAAAAGGTTCCCTGACCAATCTTCACTACCTGGGACCACTGATGCGATTATGGAAGGGGAAACTGACACTGAGACACGTTAAGTAAACCGGTCACTAGATGCCTTTGCTTCTCAGCTTTTGCTCAATAGCCAACATCAGTCATGGGGACAGGTTGCTTCATTAGAGCAATGCCACTCATTAGCTCTGGGACCCTGGGCAAGCTCCTTTACTCCATGAGGAAGTGTACCTTCATCTATCAATTGGTAATAGTAAGAATACCTCACTTACAGGGTTGTAAAAATCCAAGTCCTCAGCACACCAGAGAAAGTAATTGTGCAGGGTGGTTAAGAGCTCAGCTGCTACCCGCAGGTCAGCGGTTCAAACCCACCAGCTGCTGTGCCAGAAAAAAGATGTGGCAGTCTGCTCTGGTAAAGACTGTTGTTGTTAGGTGCCATCGAGTCGGCTCCGACCCATAGCGACCCTATGCACAACAGAACGTGACACCGTGCGATCCCGCACCACCCTCCCAACTGTTCCTCTGCCGGAGCCCAGTGAGGCAACTACTGTGTCAATCCCTCTTGTCCAGGGCCTCCCTCCTTTCACCACCCGTCCACTTTATTAGACATGAGCTACTTCTCCAGGGACTGACATTATAGTGCCAAAGTAGATTAAGGTGAAGTCTTGCCATCCTTGTGTCTCAGGAGCATTCTAGCCTTACTTCTTCCAATACAGATGGGTTTGGCCTTTAGCGGTCCATGGTACTTTCAGCATTCTTCTCCAGCGCCACAGTGCGAATGCATGCATTCTTCTACAGTCTTCCTGATTCATTATCCACCCTTCATATGCATATGATGCAATGCAGAATGCCGTGGCTTGGGTCAGGTGCACCTTAACCCTATAACGCTGAGCGTGATGTTTTCATACCACTTAATTAAATGTATATATTAATATATATATATAGATAACTATGAAAGTAAAGAATAAAAACAAAAAATTTTTCCTGAAATTAACAATTCAGGTGTTATAGGGTTAATCACAAAGTAACTTCCTTGCTCTTTGATATTCTAAAGAGATCGTGTACAGCAGATTTGCCCAACGCTACATATCTTTTGATCTCCTGACCACTGCTTCCCTGAGCACTGATTGTAAATCCAAGTAAGACAAAATCCTTGACAACGTCAGCCTTTTCTCCATGTATCATTATGTTACCTATTGGTTCAGTTGTGAGGTTTTTTGGGTTTTTTTTTTTTAATTGAGTTGCCAGCTATACTGAAGATCTTTGATCTTCATCAGCAAGTGCTTCTTGTACTCTCACTTTCAGTAAGCAAGGTTGTGTCATTTGTGTATTGCCGGTTGTTAATAAGCCTTCCTCTAATCCTGATGCCATATTCTTTTTCATATAATCCAGTTTCTCTGATGATTTGCTCAGCATACAGATTGAATAAGTATGGTGATAGGATAGAAGCCCAACTCACACCTTTCCTAATTTTAAACCATGCAGTATTTCCTTGTTCTGTTCACACAACTGCCTCTTGATCCATGTACAGGTTCCCTATGAGCACTATGAAGTGTTCTGGAATTCCCATTCTTCTCAAGGCTAGCCACCATTTATTATAGCCCACACCGTCTAATGCCTTGGCATAGTCAATGAAACTCAAGTAAACAGCTTTCTGGTATTCTCTGCTTTGAGCCAAGATCCATCTGACATCAGCAGTGATATGTCTTATCCCATATGCTCTTCTAAATCCAGCCTGAACTTCTGGAAGTTTCCTTTCAGTGTACTGCTGCGTGGTAAAGATTACAGCCTTGTGCGGCAATTCTACTCTGTCCTATGGGGTCGCTGGGAATTGGGATCACTGGATGGCAAGGAGCTTGGTTTGGGTGTGGGTATAGGCTTGTGGGGGTGTTCAGTGAGCTATCCCATTGAAGTGCGCAGTGCAGTGCCCAGCAATATAGCAAATGTCAGACAATTACTGCGCGGCCATCAGACTGAATTCAGAGGCTGTCGGTGGACAAGCCACTTTGACTCCTCTCTCCCAGTTAGGGGCAGGAGCTGCGGAGGATGCCCGCACAATTCTCAACCCTACAACTGTTGGCTGAACGTTTGAGGCCAATCCCTCACCCAAGATATATTCTCTGCAACGGTGAGCCAGAGATCTCTCAAAGAGACTGTGAACAGAGGAGCGGAGCACTTCTCTGAGCCATAGGACTGCAGCCAGTCTTGTAGCCATCGCCCCGGTGGCTCCCAGTAAACCAAGCTGCCAGGCTCAGGGGCAGCAGGGGACCCTCCCCAAAGTTCCCATTCTCCGCCCTGCTCAGCTCACCTGGCTCCCACTTGAAACGTTTGGGAGGGTAAAAACCAACCAATCGTGAGCCCACATCCTGTCGCTGTCATCTTGCAGTACCCATATGGACAAGGCAGGCCACCAGACCTACCTCGGCTGGAGAGTCCTGGTCTAAGTGGTCCGTATGCCAGTTTTAGGCGAGGAAGGGGCCTGACAGAGGTCATTCTAGCCAATTCCCCAGGATGCAGGGCTTGCTGGGGCCATCCCGTCGCGGGCACCTGGCCAGTCTCGGACGGACCCAAAGTTTCCTCCTCCCCGGGATCTCCACTCCTTCCGCCGCGGTGGCTAACGCAGAAGGGGCGCGCCGGGGCCCGGGCGAGACCCCGAGGGGGGCGGCGGAGGGGCGCTGCGAGCGCCCGGGCCTCACCTGGTAGTCCAGGGAGAACTTCACGCCCTGCTCCACCTCCTCGTGGAAGCACTGCTTGGCGCTGTCCGGCAGCTCGAAGGTGAGCTCGGCTCCCCGCGGCCGCCCGGCCCGCAGCAGCAGCAGCAGCAGGAGCAGCAGGAGCAGCGGGGCGCCACGGCCCATGGTGCGAGCGTCCGTCCGGGGCCGCAGGCCGAGGGAGCTTGGGCGCGGTGCCCCTCCCGGGTCGGCTGAATCGGCGGAGGCCGGCCC